ATAAAAAAGTCAGCCTTTATATAAACTATAACATATAACCATAATACTTAACAGCAGGTAAACAGTATATATAACTTTAGTTAATGAGATATTTTAAAGAGGTGTTTTGAATATTGCTATATTAAAAATTTCATAAATTTGTTTTTTCAAACAAATGTTTGAGGATGTATATAAAATTTATTACATACATCTTCAATTCTATTGAGTGATTTAAATTACATTTCAATTCAATTCTATTGAAATGCTTTAAATTACAAGAAATGCTTATTTACTTTTTTTTTTTTTTTTTTTTAAAGTTGATATAAATAACTATAATTCAGACCTGTTTTTTTTTTTTTTAACAAGCATAAATTACACTTTAGAATGTTTTATTCAAATAATTTATGCAATAATAAAATTATAATATAATTCTAGAAGGAACCTCTGAGTTTGTATACCCCTGTATACTGATTCAGTTAATAGTTCATGCAGCATTTGTACAAAATTGTATCTTGCTACAAAAAAAAGAGAACATAAAGTTGTAGATAGAGATGATTGCTGCTTACCATGCTGTTATGTTATTAACCTTCTAGCATACAGCATTGGGTAACCAAAAACTAAAATGTACATAAATTATACACAAAACTTAACTAAAAATATAAATGCCATTTAATAATAAATTGAATTATTCAAAAAACAGTTTCTTTTTTTTTTCTCTAATATTTATAAAATTCATTTGTTTTCTTTTATTTTTGACAAATTTATTAGCCTTATTTATTTATTTTCTATCGTAGTTTGATAAAGCCATATAAAATCTATATTGGTTTCACCGCTAGGAACTTAAATCGCCGCCATATTCGGAAAAAACAATAGAATCCGCTATCCAGTTATATTTTGAGATCAGTGATATAAACATGGCAGAGTTAGTGATTTCGCCGTTTATCCGGTTATTCGGCTAACCGGATTTTGTTCGAATATCAAATATCTATTTTCGAATAATAAAAACCGACTTTAAAATTTTTACGAAATTTTTTAGAAAGTAACTTCGTAATTATGACGATTATTGTTTGACAAATGTTAATTTATCAAAGATTATAATATATTTTATTTATTAATTTAAATAATAATTTAATTAGTTTTGTTTGATAATATTTTCTTAAAACAATTTACAATAGAAATCTCAAAGATTTATTTATTACTTTTACAACTCAAGCAATACATTTTTAAGAAAGTTTCTTCAGAATATTCTGGAATTCTAATTCGCTTATTCAGCGTATTTTTTGAACCAATAGAATTTGTTTATTCGTAGATTTGGCGGTATTTTAGTGTTAGCAAATATTCCTTAAATTATCTTAACAGTCATTCTGGTTAACTTTGAATTTGCGGGTAAAGATTCAATTAAACGTGTAATAGATCTTGTGGTTTCTTATCAGCCCCTTTTCCCACCGAAAGGGGAGTTAGACAAGGTGACCCACTCTCTCTTTTTTTGTACGTCTTTGTCGCCGAAGCTCTTGCTTTGATGGTCAGAGCGGACAGCAGAATAGAGGGTTTCCCTTTACCAGGAACACCGAAACCGCTTAAACTACAGCAGTACGCAGACGATTCAAACTTTTTTGCCAGGGACGTAAAATCAGTCCGCTTTTTTTTTGAAGCAGTAAAACTTTTTGAAAAAGCAAGTGGTTCAGTGGTCAATGCCTCAAAAACCAAGGGCCTTGCTCTTGGGGGCTTTGATCCCAAAATGTACCCGGAATTGGACAACATAGAGTGGACTAATAACACCGGTTTCAAAATTCTAGGTGTTACGTTTTACACCAGGCTGAGTAATACTACCAATTTCAACTGGCTAGTAACTCTAACCAAAATAGAGAAAAAACTCAAGTTTCTGGGACTACGTACTTTGTCACTTAGGGGAAAGACTATGTTGATAAATACGTTAGCATTGTCAAAAGTGTGGTTTCTGGCAAACGTGTTGCCCGTTCCCGAATGGGTAATAGAACGTTTGCACAGCGCCATTTTCGAAAATCTGTGGCAAAAGACCAATTTTAATCCGGTCAAAAGAGAGACGCTTTTTTTACCCGTCAAAAGCGGGGGTCTCGGAATTCTATCACCGAAGGAGCAAAGCCTTGCGCTCCGCCTCAAAACACTCTTTCAACTGAAAGAATGCGGAGAGGAGAACACCCACGATAATTACTACTTTTCAAAGTACTGGTTAGCAAGTTCACTTATTAAATTTACAAACCAAAACCCATGCTGGAATTTTTTAAAACAGAACAATTTTCCAAAACACTGGGACAACAAAATGTCTCAGTACTACAAAACAACTATTGAAATATTAGGCCAAAACGGGTCCCTTTTTAACATCCCCCTAAAATCAACAAAAAATTTTTACTTAGAAGTGGCAAAAAACAAAAAGACAGTCGTACCAGCAGAACTTTTCTGGAACGGTTCAACAAAAACAACAATGCCGTGGACCCAAATTTGGAAAAAAAACTTCACCTCCCACGCATGCGGACCGACTCAAAACATCCTCTTTCGATTTTTGCACAACAGTCTACCTTCTGCGGCCTTGCTACCCAAAAGCACAAGGCAACAGATAGTCCAAAACAACAAATGTAAAACTTGTGGTAAAATCGAGGACAATCTTCACATCTTTGCCTACTGTCCTCCCTCTGTTGAAATTTGGGAATATTTTAAATATTTATATAACTCCTTGACGTCCCAAAAGGGTTTTTCGCCGATAAATTCGATTTTCTCTATCGGAACCGCGAATTTATCGGAAAAAACCCTACCTCGCAACTGCTGTTGACACTCACCCAAACCATCATGAGTGAGATATGGAACAGCAGATGTCACCACATGTTTAGTAACATGAAAATTCACCCAATGGCAGTGATCAGGATAATTATCAGGAAAATCAGGAATATCATTACTTTAAAATATAATTATCATGTCCGTAGTAATACTACGGACATTCTCTGTCAGCTTTTCTGAGTTAAAAATATAATATGTCAAGTAGAGAACAGAAGACTGAAACTAAACATATGAGCTAAACTGACACCCTAGCTCAAAAAGAACTATATGTTTAGTGACGTTTTCCACTTCTCTACGTATTATTATTTTTACAACAAAATGTTATTATTTATAATTCGAAAATCACTGCCAACCATTATTTTATGAGCTATAATTTCCCTTATTATACGTTTTTCTGTAGTGTACGTAATGTGGTGTTGGTGTAAAAGTATTGGAATTTTTTTGCTTTCATTTTGTTATAATTTCCTTCCTTTTTAATAAAAACTTCTTGAATTCTCTTTAAATTACCTTCCTCTTTAACTTTTCTAAACTTTCGACTTTTTTCCGCACAATGCCTTTCTATCTAAAAAACAAAAATACAAAAAAAATATAAAATCGAAAAACACAAAAAAATATAAAATACAAAAATACAAAAAAAAATATAAAATATAAGGGAAAAAAAAAAAAAAAAAAAAAAAAAAAAAATTAAAAAATATGAAAATAAAAAACTATATATATATATACGGCAACACTTGTATTATTATTATTTTATTTTATTATTATTGTAGCTTCTGTTAACGTTTTTGAAAAAGAAAATCAACTCATTGTAAAACGAATATATATATATTGTAAAACTTTAATTTTTAACATTTTGAGATAATGTATTTTTTATAATTGTAAATAAATACTATTTTATAAAAAAAAAAAAAAAAAAAAAAAAAAAAAAAAAAGTAATAGATCTTGTTTTTAAATTTTTTTTTCTTTGGTATTTTCTTTGCCTGTTGCTTTAACAAAGAATAATATAATGAACTATCATTTTTTACAAAAGTTTGACCAAAGAAAATTAAATTTTATTTCTCAAAAATAATGTTTTCCTCCATTTCCAGTTACACTGTCGAATGTGGTGACAACATCGTGTGTTTTCAATTTAGAATATTTGGTATTATATTGTAATTATCAAAATAATAGGATTTAACATGTTTTTTGCTACAAAAAGGATATTTATTTCCACTTAGCTAAAATATAACCAAATTCAGGGTAACTTTAGACAATCAATATTTTCCAAAAATGCTTATTTTGCTGTCTGAGTAACATTGCAATAATACATAATAAGTAATAGGCATCCTTTTATTATAGTATTTTTATTATATAACGATATATGATATTATAAATATCAAAAATTATAATATCTATAACTATTATATTATATTAATTTTTGATATTTATGGCTATCTTGATAGATTTAATAATATATTTTATTAATAACAAATATGCAATTAATTAAATAATTTTCATTAATAACATAAATCATCTTTATATTTTTAGCATTCATAAAATGCCAAAAAAATGTTCGACAAGTCGTCCTGGCACAAGAAAATATGGCACTAAATCTAATTACACCAATTCTACACTTCAAGAGGCTTTAGCCAAAATTAAATTAGAAAAAATATCGATTGGTGAAGCTTTTAAAATTTATAAAGTACCTAAGGCAACATTATTTTATAAGCTAGTAGGACGCCCTATTGCCTTTAGCATTGATGAGGAACTTTGTTTTGAAAATCACTTACTTTTAAGTGACAAAGGTATACCAATTGGAATTAATGATTTTAAAAGTATTGTCAAAATCTATCTGGATGATAGTGAAGAAAATATACAACAGTTTAAAGATAACTGACCAGGTTGGGAGTGGTGTAAACTTTATCTTGACAGGCATCCATCATTAAAAGAAAAAGTATCTCATTGTATTTCAATTAATTATTGTCAAATAAAATTATTTTTTCAAAATCTAGAGAAGGAATTAAATGGAGTAACGCCAGATAGCATTTATAATATGGATGAAACAGGGTTTCATGATGACCCTGGAAAAAAAAAACTTATTTTTCGTCGATTCTCTCGCCATCCAGAACTTATAAGAAACACAACAAAAAACTTGTTACACTGATGTTTTTTGTGGAAATGCCTCAGGAAAACTAATTCCACCACTTTTCATTGTTAAAGGAAAACACAGTTAGTCTGACTGGCTTTTCAACGCACTAGAAGGATCAAGAATGGCAACTTCTTGCAGTGGCTGGATGGAAATTCAAATATTTGAAGAGTGGCTGTTAAATCACTTTGTTCCAAATATTATAAATAAGGAAGGTAAAAAAGTTCTGATTTGCGATAATATAAGTGCTCATATATCTTTAAAAGCCTTAAATATATGTGAAAAGCATAATATAACATTTATATGTTTGGTACCCAATTCCACACACCTTTTACAACCTTTAGATGTTGGATATTTCTCGAGTTTAAAAGCTGATTGGAGGTCAGTTCTTAATCAATGGCGTAAAACATCCAGAGGAAAAAAGGTTAATAACCTGCCAAAAAAGTTGTTTACGCAGCTCATTAAATCTACTCTTAATGTTAGTAAAGAAAATCTAGAACATAATCTCCAAGCAGGATTTAAGGCTACTGGCATATATCCATTTGTACCAGAACATGTTCTCTCCAAATTACCCAGTTTTACAAATATAAATATTCAACTCAATATTGGAGAATCGTTTAGGAATTATGTTGATGATATTCATCTTAATTATGAAGTAAGCAAAAAATTTAAGTTACCAATAACAGCAGGGAAAAGTGTATCAGCCACTGAGGTAGAAGCATACTATAAGGAAAGAGACAATAAAAAAAAAAGTCAAGATAATATTCGAGCAAAGAAAAGAGGAAGACCACTTGGATCAAATAATATGGTTATGAAAATAAACAAAAAACTTAAAATTTTACAAAGTTCAAGCATCGTAAATGTTAATCAAGTTATTGAAAACAATGAACAAGTTTTACCTGTATCTCAAAATGATGCAGTTTTTTCATTGGAGCAAGTAAACAATCACTATGTACATGTTTTCCTTGATCATGATTATATTGTTTACACCCTTTATGTAAAAATATTTGTTATCTAGTTAAAACATGTAAAATTATGTAAAACAATGTAAAAATATTTGTTAAAACAATGTAAAAATATTTGTTATCTAGTTAAAAGTTGTTATCTAGTAAAACAATTTTTGTAGAGATAAACCTAGCGCAAACCGTTCAAAGTTACCCGTAATGACTGTACGCAACAAGTTGTTTTGAGAACATTCAAGTTTATCTATGTTTCCATCTATGTCCGCATAACAATAGATTTTTAAAATACACGCTAAAAAAATTTACTTCATAACATCTCATTTTTCTAAATCAAATGTTTTTACATGAGAGAATGATTATAAAACAACCGCTGATATTAAAACATTTAAACTATACTTGTACATTATTCCTACCTTTTTTAATTATGTAAATAAAAAGGTATATTATAATATAAAAAATATATATATCTTTTTCCATGTTTTGTTATAAATATATAATATAAGACTCTATTTACTAACTGTCTTGAAAATGTACACTTTAACATTAATTTTTAGAAAATTTGTTTAAAACAAATTTGTTCGTTGAAATTTAGAAGATCCTGTATTCAGAAAGCGTCACTAATTAACCGAATAGTCGGATAACCGCAAATTGATGAGAACTGTTATCCGGATTTTGAAACGGATAACCGGCGAAATCACTAGGCAGAGTTAGATGTGGTGATGTGGAAAAATGATAACTTTTAATGATTCTGTGGCAGTGTTTCACTTGTATTCTGATGCGCTTACTGGTAAATCAATTTCAAATCACAATTTAAATCTAATTAAAGTCAAAAACGACTGGTAAAATGTAAATTGCAAAATCTAATTAAAGACAAAAACGACTGGTAAAATGTAAAATCTAATTAAATTGAAATATCTTGGATAGATTATAATTACCCTGAAGAAGAAAAAATAATAAAAAGAAACCATCGCACAATAAAAAGAATTGTAAGAAAACCAATAACTCAGGCTAATAAATAATAATCAATAAACAAATAATCGTCACAATATTGCTGTAAAAAAAAATGACGTAATTCCAATGGAAAAATATATGGTTGCCAAATAGGTTTTAAGCGATTAAGAAAAAAATATTTTGGCAAAAAATTGCACAAACAAAAATTTTAAATTGGCAATTAAGTTTGATTAAAACCACCTAGTACCAAGTGGAAGCGAGGCTAAAGAACCAAGGATGTTTATCAACAAATTGTAGAGGTGGATGGAGTTTTGTGTCATGAAACACATCAGACCACAAAATGAAACTCAGCCATCATGCATTATTCCTAATATTAAAATAGACGTGGGCAGCACGTGAATTTGTGAAAAAATTGTGGAAAACAGTGAAGAAAACAGAAAAGCTGTTTCTGATACAAGCAAAAAAGCACATTGAAGCTAAAAATAGTATTTAAGAAACAGATGTGCTTTAAAAATGAAGTAATTGAGAGTATTGCATGCCTATAAAATAAATTGATTACTATTTGTAATAAATAAATTGATGACTATTTATGGGTCTAAGGGGAGTGTGATTATATTATATAAAATGCTAGAATATTTTTTGATGACAGGTAGATTGCAATTTAAGTGTAGAATATAATATATTCTACACTTGCTCTACTTTTATATAGAATATATATAAGTAAAGTATATATAAGCAGAATATAATTGAAAAAGCTTTTTAATTGATTTATTTATAAAATTATGTTTATAACTGCATAAATAAACTGTAAATAAATAAATAAACTGTAAAAATCATTTGTTTTATAAAAAATAAGCACTTTGACCTGACAAAAAAAATAAAATATATAATTATACTTTTATAAATATTATTTCTGTTTATTTTTGTCAGTGCTTATTCTTAATAATAGAGGGTGGCCAGATAATTTTGATTTCATTTTCCTGACTAAAATGAAATTTCTCTGATTTGCCTATGTAAAATGACCAAATGTAGCAATAAAAAAAATTCTTTGTTTTGATAAAGTTGTGTGAGTTTTATTAGTCAAATATACTATGCCAAAAAAGAATTTTTTTTCTTTCAGTCTGGGTCCATCAAAATTTCCTGACTTTTGAAAAATGAATTTCTTAATCTTTCACTGATTTTTTAGCATAGTTTTTGAATTTCCCTAACTATTCCATGTTTTTTAGAATGCTAGCCACCCTGTTATACTGTTCATTTAATTATTTAATTTAATTATTTTTTTAAAGTTCATCTTTATTTTCATCTCTCCAAGCATTATGAGGGCTTCTTTGTCAATCCTGAAATTGTTTGCAACAAATATTTACTTTTTTAAATATGCTAAATTGTCTAAATATAAACTAAATTAGAATGATCATAAAATTCTTTAATATCACCCAATCTTCAATAAATTGTGAAAAATATTAGCGATACATTGACCAGGGATGCGAAATCCTAGCAATTTTTAGGGACTTCAGGACTCCGGGTCAAAAAAGACCGACTTCATAGACTCCGGACTCCAAAGTTTTCTTTTTTTGTCTTAACCAGATATTTTACGAATGAAAAAGTCCCTAAAAAGACATTTAAAGTTTCTATTATACTGTAAAAATTACTGTTTATTATTTATTGCTTTGCTCAAAAAATAACTATTTCTTTTCGGTTAAAGGTATTTACACTAATACTACTTATGTATTTTAAATGAGTGGATTTGTTAACTTTATTTAAAAACTTTGGCATATAAAATTCGCCGAATGGTCACACACGAGCAGTGAACACCCGAGGGAAGAAATGAAGTACATTAAAATAAAGAAGAACTATTTATCGAACGAAGCATATTTTGACAGTTGTCAAGACAAAAATAAAGATTAATAGAGGAAAATTTCAAAACAAGTAAGACAGACAATACACCCAAGCAGTACTCAAAATAATAATAACAAAAAATTTTAACATAAAAAACTAGTACGTACGAAGATATACAACAAATATATAACCGAAATAAATTTTTTTTAAAAAAACCAAAAAATTGATAAACAAATAACTTAAAAAATAAAAAAACGAAAACAAAAAAATATGGATATAACAATGTAAGGCCTCAGAATGGAAAAAGAACATTAATGCTAATGTGAAAACATAATTAATGTAGTGATGAAGTAATAAACATCTCCTCAGAGTCGCGTCTATTATTACAGGCGTTTCGATGAGGATCAGCACCTATAACTAGTTTATCCCGTCAGACAAACGTCATCGCCACTTGTGCTTTACCCCGCGATTTACGCCTTATCCATACTGCAGTAAAAAAGGACTCACTACAAATAGCCAAAACCCCACCAACCCAAAATTTGTAAAACACTTATGTTTTTTTAATGGTATGATATAAAAAGTGTAGATCAACTGTAAAAAATAAATAAAAATAATTAAATAAATCACTTACCATACCACCGAAAGAAAACATGAAAGCACAATAAATTAAAATTCTAATCGAAACATAAAAATATAGATAAATTCAATTTAAGATCTAAAACCAGATAGGTATTATAAGCATAAATAATCCAAAGAAATCAGAATACCTCATTAAAAATTTTTTTTAATCGACAAAACAACAATAGCCTTAAATAAATTCTAACGCTGTCATAGATACCTTATTCGAAATGTGATAACCAATCAAAAGTGTAGGAAAATGAAAAACCCGCGAAACCTAGAATCATAACAATGATAGAACAATGTGGCATAAATGTAAATGTTGTAGATAAGTTCGTGTTGTGTATGTCGCAGTGCTTGTTTAAAACCTTTGTTAATAGATTGAATAGGGTAGCCTCGTATAACTAAAATTTGTGCTAATTGTATTAGCTCTTTTATTAGGTTGTAATTGTTGGATATAATCTTATTGTATCTTAACGCTTGGCTATATATTAAATTACTTTTTTGATGAGGGGGGTGGAATGAATTATAATGCAATAGTGCTGTTGTATCAGTTGCCTTTTTGTATATTGTTGTTTCTAACTGTCCATATAGCTTTTTGTTAATTGTTAAATCCATGAAATTAATAGAAGTGGTAGAATTATTGAAGTAAATTTGATCGTTGGGTGGATGGCATTTATAAATTCGAAAACTTGTGTTAGTATCTCCGGAGGCCCATGAAAAATAAAAAATATATCATCTATAAAACGTTTATAAAAAGAAATTCACATTGAAAATTGGTCAATTATTTTCTCATTAATTCTTCCCATAAATAGATTAGCATAGGGTGGAGCCATACGTGTCCCCATGGTAGTACCTGTTAATTGTAAAAAATGATCAGTCGAAAATTGAAAGTTGCTGTGGGTTAGGATTGTTTCTAATATAATGTCAATAAAAGCAATAGGTGGGCGTTTAATGGGTCCGTTAAATGGCGGTGCTCTCTTTAAATAAAATTTTACAGCGTCAATACCCTCGCGATGTTTGTATACAAAGATATAACATGAAGAATGTTTGTATACAAAGATATAACATCAGCCGTGACAAGAATGTAATTGTTGGTTTCTAGTACATGAGATTGAAGGAGTTTAAGGAAATGTGTTGTGTCTTTAAAGTATGCTGGTAATTGTTCAGCAACTGGCTGAATAAATTCTGTGATAAAGAACGATAAGTTATCGATTGGTCCGTCACAACCAGAAACAATTGGTCTTAAGGGGGTGTCTATCTTATGAATCTTGGGAATGCCATAAAACAGGGGTGTACGAAGGGGTGTTTTTGGTCGTAGAAACTCTGATGTTTTTTTATCAATCATATGATGAAGAAACATATAGTCAGTAAGATTGGTAACATCTCTCGCAATACTTTTTGTTGGGTCTTCTGAGAGTAGTTTATATGTATTTTTATCTGATAAAAGTAGAGAGATCTTCTCTTCATAGTCAGTTTTATCTAAAATACAAATGCCCCCTCCTTTGTCGGCCTTTTTTATGATAATTGTGGGATTAAACATAAGGGAGTTTAATGCGTGAATGAGTTTAGGAATTAAATTTTTTTTATGTTTCGGTAGTTGTGAGAAAATAAGTGCGGTTATATCACATTCTACCAAGTTAAGATAACTTATAATAGTTTTGTTTTTTGTCATAGGGGGAGACAAATTTGATTTTATATGAAATGGATGCCTCATTATTTCTTCGGTCCCAAAGTAGAGTTGTTGGAGAAGAGTTGTTTTAAATTTTTCAAAAGCTGTTATGTGCATATTAAGTGACGTATTTGTAATTGAAGGAATTTAAACCCAAAACTAAGAGCTCTTTTTCATCGTCTGTTAGAACGTGTTTGGAACGTGTTTTGAACGTGTTTTGATAACTAGTTTATTGTAAAATAGATGTGAAAAATTTGACTTAGCCTGAATGATTTCTTTATTATATTGCCTCATGTTGCTATGTGGTGTTGACGAAAACAATTTAGCCAGAGTAAATGGTGTAAAATTTCTTTTTTCGTTAGACGGAGTAAACAGTTTTCTTTGCTGATCCTAGAAAAAAATATTTTATCAAGGATTTCTGTAATAACCAAAAACAACAAGTAAGAGACAAGTAGACATGTAAAAGACAATAGAAAACTAGTGAAGATAATTTAAAGTCAAACACAGCATTGAGACAGCAAACACAGTATTAAAGTTTGTGGATCCGAACTGAATGATAGACACCATTAAACGATAAACTTAATGGTAAAATAGATGCATATAATATAAGTTATTACATGCTAGAACAATAAACTAACAAATAATTTAAATTTTTATTGATAAAAAATTTTTTTTGGTAAAGTTATTTTATATAGTCCGAATCAAAATTTGAGCAACTTAGAGAACTTAACAAAATACTACTTATGTAATTTAAATGAGTGGATTTGTTAACTTTTTTACTTTTATACTTTGACTAGCGGATCGCATACTATGTTAAAAAGTTTTCTTATTTTATTTTTTTGATACAGTTTATTCATATAATAATATAATTTTTAATTGGAAAAATCATATAGTAAAATGATTTTTCCAATTAAGATGTTCATCAAATATTATTCCCAAAATTTTAAGTGATGAAACTCTGTTTACTATATTGTTATTTATTATTAGCTGAGGAAGCTGCAGAGACAAGTCAATGAATTTAGATTGGTTATGGAATAAAATGTACTTAGTTTTACTGATATTCAAAGAAAGTTTGTTTGGTTTGAGTCATTAAGGTTTTCCAGCTCATGATTAACTGTAAAAAAATTGATTTTAAATTGGAATGGGTATAAGAAAAGGTTAGTGTCATCAGCAAAAAGAACAAAAATAAGCATGTTTGAAGGGAGATAAATATCATTTACGTAAATCAGAAACGGTAAGGGTCAAAGAATGAGGAACTCCGCAGGAACTCCGCAGAGAAACTCCGCCTTGAGGAACTCCGCAGCTTATTGTTTCTAACTTTGTGCACGTTGAATCAAAAATTACTCCTGGTTTGCAATTTTTAAGGTAGCTTTGTAGCCATTTTAAAATGTTATTTGTTACTCCATATGTTTCTAGTTTGTACAAGAGAATTTTATGATCAACAGTGTCAAAAGCTTTTGACAAGTCAATGAACAAGCTGAGTTTTAATTGTACAAAGTAGGTTCTGCACATCTTCTTCTGAAAAATTGCTTTCTATTTCCTTTTGGCACAGTAAAAATAAGTTAGGTCTCTGTTTTTACTGTTGTGACATGCGCCTTGTGTTTAGAATCTAAATCAAATACAAAAATAGCAGGAGAGTTGGTAGATATTACTTCAAATTATTGATATTACTGCTACTTGTTTCAACTTGTACATTCTTATTTTTTTTTTTCAGTTTGTATTTTATTTTGCAAAGGCCGTCAGCTGCAGTCATCTAAAATTTGTAATTTTGAATAAGCGTAATTTTATATTCGTTTATGTAAGATGCATTTATACAATATATACTTATATAAACAAAGTGGTGATAATATTATAACTATAATAAATTATATTAATAAAAAAATCTTGTCTTCACTTTTCAGCATGCAACCATGTTGAATATCTATGTAAACCACTGCTAGAAAAAGTGAATTTTCTTGTAGGACAATATCCCGATTTATCATTCCCTTCTGAATATCTTTTGCTAACTCATGGTCTTTGCTATTAAATTCACACCTTATTGAGTTCTAGTCAAAGAGAAACTCACCTGCAGTGATATTCTCCAGCTGAAGGCAAATAGTGAGTTTGCAAGCCGCCCAGCTAACTCTCCAAGCTTAGTCCATGCATGGGATTCATGATGACCGGCACCACTGCACCGGAAATGCCGTTCATATTCCAATGGTTCGCCATGTTTGTTTTACGATGTGCCGATCATGCCGATCTTTTTCCAGACAAATGAAATATTATATAACTAGATTTCTAACTTCAATCCGAAAAGTGAAGCCGCTCATTGCTCTTTTTACAAATGGCGGATTAAGTTTGTATACAAATATTTTACACTTTTCTTTTCTTAAATAAAGTAAATATATTTTAAGTTCAAATACTATTTAAGTGAAAGTGTGAAGTTAAAATTATAATACTTGTAAAATATTAATTTAGGATTTACTATTTTTTTTTTCGATTAAAAAGGGATTAAAGTTTTGTATAGAAAAGTAAAACAACAGACGCTTTTAAAGAATTTGTATAAATTAAAATATTCTTTAATAAACATAGACTCATAATAAAACTTTTATAAGTATTTTATAATTATTAAAATTTGTTTTTGAATTATCTTTAATTTTTTGGGAACCTTTGACTTGCATTTTTAACTTTTATTCCACACTTTGGCTTCAGCTTTTGCCCTTTTAGAAAGGCGGCCTATTGTTATAAACAAAAAATAGCGGCTTCACTTTTTGTCCAATAAAATCCCACAAGTCAGACATCTAGTTATAGATGTATTTTTATATACATATATACATATATATAAATATATTTTTTTATTTTATATATATATATATATATATATATATATATATATATATATATATATATATATATATATATATATATATATATATATATATATATATATATATATATATATATATATAAGTAGAAGGAGGCGGAGAGATCTCCCTCATTTTTATTTTTAACCATTTTTTTAACCATATATTAATATTAATATATGGTTCAATATTATCCATGTTGTGTATAAATTATTTAGATAAGAAATAAAATTATTCAGTTTTAAAAAACAAAAAAAAATTGAATTTTTTTAATAAATGTTAATTTTTTATTTCTTGTCAAAAAATATCACGTGATTTTCTTGCTGTTTTATTCTGTTTCTTTGTGAACCTGTTAAAGCTATTTTATGTTCACCATTTAGATCTTGATGTGTTAATTTTATAACAGCATTAGTATCAGATTCAATTGCTTTTTTAATTTTTTCTTTTTGACTATCTGAAAGATTTATAAGAGTATCATATTATTTTGTCATTTTTTATATATAAAATAATTTTTTAAATCACTTCGTGATTATTGCTTCGCTAGGTTCTGAAAGAACCCTGGGTCTCAAAGAGACCTAATTCACTTTAAGTTTATTGCATTCTGTAATGCTTTTTTCTCATCATCATCTATTTGACCTTGCCTTAACAGCTCCTCACAAATAGCAACAGCTTCATTTCTAGCTCCAGTTTTACCTGCTTGTAAAGCAGCTAAGCGTAATTTAAGCATATCAAATAGTGCATTTGGATCACTAGGAAGAATTATTTGTTCAATGATAACTCCTTTTCCAGATATTCCAATCATCTCTTCCCAAATAGGTTTTATTGTATGAGTGTATTTATAACTTCTAGATGATCTTGGTTTAGCTGAATTTAAATGAGAGCGAATTGCATCTGTTTGATCTAAAATTTCTTTATACTTATTACGATTATCGTTAGTATATCTAACAGGATGAGATTTTACTATAATCTCCCAAAGACCAGGTGTACCAGTGTATTTTTTACCTTTAATAGTTATATCATCACCTTCAATAGTTACTGGTTTTTTACCAATGTAAAATTTTTTATCACCTTTATTGTAATGTATACCAAATATGTCATCTGATACTTTTTTACTATTTTTAGCAGTATATAACTTTAGATATTCTGCTGCGATAGTTCCTAATGACATGTTATTTACAATTTCAGGTGGCATAATTGCTTTAGTTTCAGAATCTAGTAAAGCAGGATAACTTGAAAAAGTATTAGCTATTTGATCAGCTTTATTTTCTAATTTAGTTAAACCTTCTTTTATACCAGATTGACTATCTATTAATGGCTTGTACAATTTTTCCAAGTTAGTCTGTCAAGTATCATAACCTAACTTTTCATTAATAGAATCTTGATATAAACTTTTCTTTAAACTATCAAGTTCTTTTTCTAATTTTAATCTTGCTTTAATATCTGTAGCTTTTACATACGACATTTTTTTTATATAGGTAAAATTTTTTAAATCAACATATGTTATGTTAAGTAATACATAATATATGTTTTAATTTTTAAGAGTATTATTTATCACTCCTATACTTTGATTCTTGTTGAACCTCATATTTAACACTTCAATAACCTCACTTTTGCCTTTTTCTATTCCTTTATTAAATATTGACTCTTTAGTCTGCTTATCTATATCATTCTTAGATTTTGTTCTAATTTGTTCAATCATAGTTTGAAACTTTTCAAGTTCTGAAAGTATCATAATAAATTCAACCTTATCAATATATTGATCTGATATAGCTTTAGAAATAAGACCACTTATTGTATTTAGTTTTGCATCAGCTAATATTTTAATCTTTTCATGCTTTTCTGCTTTTATTGTTAATTTTTTAATAGCTTGTGATCCTATTAATGATAATACACCCATACTTAATGCTGCAATTTCACATCCAATAGCTATAGGTGATCCAACTATTGTTGTTAAAAAGCCAATACCAACAGCTCCAAGTGCCATTGTGCTAGCTAGTAATGAATTATCAATAGCTGAAACTATTCTTAAAGGTTTGTGATATTTCTTACTTAAAATTTCTCTTTTTAATCTTTCACATTCTATCTTGTTTTGAATCTCATTTATTTTAACTAATCTAAAATTCTGATCAAAAATTGGTGGTGCAGATGGATTTTCTGAAAACTGATTAAGATCTGGATAAAGCTGTTTACATTCATTAATAGATTGCATTTCTTTTTCTATAAAGAAAAATTTGTTTTAAATCATTTTAATAAATATTTTTGTTATTTATCAAAATCAAATACAGTAGAGTCTTTAGCTTTGTTAGATTTATCTGAACTAGGTTTACCTTCATCATATATAGTTTCTTTAGTTATTTCCCCTATACTTGATAATATAGATTTTACAGATTCTTTATCGCTGTGGGACCTAGCAGAGCCAGGATCACTTTGTGATCTAGCAGAGACTGGGTCTCTTTGGATCTAGCAGAACCTGAGTCCCTTTGGGACCTAGCAGAGCCTGGGTCCCTTTGGGACCTAACTTGTTCTACTTTTTTATCAAGTTCTAAAGTAACCCTATGTGATATAAAATTTGCATTAAAAACACCATTATAAGATGAAATACAGCATAACAAATCTCCTTTTTTAATATTTATATCTTTTTTATCGTTATTATATAAAGTTATTTTAATATCATCAGTAGACTCTATTACAACAGAATTTAGTAAACTTAGAGTAGGTTTATAATTTTCTTCAAGTGAAATCAATACATGTCCTTTATCTATTTTAACTCCACACATTAAAGAAATGTTATTATATAAATTTGATTTTACTGTAAAATTTTCTTGTGCGAATACTTTAATATGTCTATCATTTATTACTCTATGTTCTAAATCTGAATTAATATTAAAAGTTATTGTATATTTTTCATGCTTTTCGTAATCTAAAAACATTCTTCTCATATTCTTTTTTATAAATGTAAAGATGTTTTAACTCATTTTAAAAATGATACTTAAAAGTATAATATTTTTTATTTTAAAGTTCTTACAATGTAATTTACAATTTGTTCATTCTCATGTAAATAATAACACTTTTTATCATTAATATTTTTATATATAGCTATTTTTTCACCTTTTTCATTTTTCATTAATTTCTTTTCTGTTAATTTACATAGTTTAAATGGGCAATTCTCTATGTTTTCTTTTATTTCATCTTTAGTATGAGCATATTTGCAATTTATTTTTTTACATTCTTTTTTATCAAGAATATATTTGCATAATTTAGTTTTAACTCTTTTTAATTTTAATAATTCTGACTTTTTAGGGTAAAACAATCTTCACTCTTTATTCTTGCATTTAGGATATTCAGAACATAGAGATAAATGCCTATATCTACATGAATCTTTAGTGCATATTAATCTTTCTTTTATAGTATTGCAATAAGGAATATCATGATTGTATTTACATTTCTCTCCAAAATGACAGAAATTATCTTTTAAAATATTTTTACAAAAACTAGATAATTTTTCTACAAAATGAATTGTAGAAGGTTTTCCATTTTCAGTAAAATTAATTTCAACATTAAATGGTTCTTTAGAACTAAATTTTCTATTTTTGTTATGTTTTTTAACAAAAAAACTATCTATAGGAGGATAATCATTATAAATAATATCGCTGTAAGTTGGAACATAATTAGTCCACTTCAGTTTATCTTTATACAATTCCATAATTTGTGCTGTTTTTGAAGGAATTGGAATTATAGGTTTGTCTTGAATTTCTTCAGATTGATCAAGTTCATCACATATAAAATAAGTTTCATCAGAACTATTTTCTGAATCAGAATCTGATTCTTCAAATTCAAAGTTTCTTATTTGTTCAAAAAGTTCAAATTCTTTTTGAAATTCAGATATTTCATTAATCTCATCATAATTCATTTTATTTTATTATTTAATAAAATATTTTAAATCAAAAAAAAATAAAATGAGTTAAATAATTTTCTTTACATAATAAAAATGATAGATGAAGTAGATTTGATGCAAGTAAGCTCAGAAGATATAATAAAACAAATAAAAAATAAAATAAAAATATTAGAAAAAAAGCAAAAAGAAATAGAAGAATTAAAAAATATCGAAAATAATATTCAAAAAGAAATTGAAGAGATAGAAAATATGACAAAAAAATTAAAACCAATGAAATCATTTTTAAAATGTATTAAAAAAGAAAAATAACTGTAAGTTTAGAAGTAGAAGAAAATATTAAAGATATAGTAAAAAATCAATTATTAGGAATAGAAAATAAAAAAAAAGAAATCGAAAAAAAGAAAATAACTGCAAATGAGTTTAAAAAATATGTAATACTTTCTATAATAAATATATAGCAAAACATATACTTCGTTAAAATAGCGCATGCGCACAAGAAACAGCAAGAAAATCACGTGGTATTTTTCGACAAGAAATAAAAAATTAACACTTATTTAAAAAATTCAATTTTTTTTTATTTTTTAAAATTGAAAAATTTTATTTCTTATCTAAATAATTTATACTTAATAGGATAACATTGAACCATATATTAATAATAATATATGGTTGAAAATATGGTTAAAAATGAAAATGAGGGAGAACTCTCCGCCTCCTTCTACTTATTTATATATATATATATATATATATATATATATATATATGTATATATATATATATATATATATATATATATATATATATATATATATATATATATATATATATATATAATTCCATTAAATTCCAATTAGTTACTAATGGAAAATATTTTAAAAATCATGTAAGCTTCATTTAGTATTTTTAAATAATGTTACTACACATAATTAATGTCAATTTTGAGAATCGTTATTTGACCTTTTGCGATTTGTATGCCCACCTATGTCTCTGAAATTTATAAAATAAGTGGTCAAAGCTCGCTCAATGGATAGGTTTTCAGCAATGAGATTTCTTCTTTCTTACACTTTCTAAAGAGATAAATATTAAAAATTGATTTTTTTTTACTAAAATCATAGGTTCAGCTAAAAATGATGTTTGTGATTTTTCTGGTTTATTGAACACCCTTCCCTCTTTATCAAACTTGGTTTATTTTTTTCTCAACGCCCCCCATGAAAACATTATCTGTTTTTGTTTCCCCTCATCTTTATATAATATCATAAATGCTTTTTACCATCAATTTTTTTCTAATTTAATTAAACATTTCTTCTTTACAGTACTCAATTGAAGAAGAAAAACAAAATATAAGTTGTTTTTAAAGACTTTGAAAAAATAAGCAAGCTTAATCTGAATTTGAATTGTGTTTCAAATGATCGTGAACAGTTTTAGGCAGCACAAGCAAGAATAGAGTTTTCAAACCACATTGTTGGTGTCAATACCTTAAAAACCTGCTCATAGATAACGTAAATATATATTAATTATTTAGGTTTCCCAAGATGACCTCACGGTCTTGTCACAAAGCACCGCTAAAGCGCATTTAACCAAGAAGTTTACGCCTCCTTCCTTACCGTGACGCCAAATAAGTCCGAAGCACGTTTTAAACCTAGATCTCCTGCATATAAAACAAGCGCTCTAACCACTGCGATACGGCCGCATATTTTACAAAGCTTACGATAATTAAGTTAAGATTTATTATGAGTTGTTAAAATGTAATAAATTTAACACGTATAGAAAAACAAAGCCTTAAAAATGTAATTTAAAAATGCAAAGGGTGTTTTAAAAATTAAAAATAAAATAAATTCAAGTTATCTTTCACAAGATTCTCAATTAAATGATAACTTAAAATAATAGTAAAAGATAAATTGAATAAATTCAAGTTATCTTTCACTAAATCCACATGGCCACAATTTTCATTTTCATCAGACCTGTTTGTCCCATTGGCCATTTCAGATGTTAATAAAGATGGCATCATTTGACATCATATATATATAAATATATATATATGTATATAAGTAAAAAAGAAGAAGATTAAAAAAAAAGAAAATTTAAGCAATGGATTAATCTCCATATATTATTGTAGAAGTATGGATTCTTGCAGTAATTGACCTTATAATAAAACATACAGCATATATATATATATATATATATATATATATATATATATATATATATATATATATATATATATATATAATATATATATATATATATATATATATATATATATATATATATATATATATATTTATATATAAATTTATATATATATATATATATATATATATATATATATATATATATATATATATATATATATATATATATAAATATACGTATATATATATATTTCTTATTTATATATTTTATATATATAGATTTCTTATTTTACTTTTTCTTCTTACTGTTTCTATAGAAACCATATAAAATGTAAAAACAAAACCATATAAAATATAAAAATTAACAAATATTTCATTTTTATTTTTATTATTTTTTTTTGGAATATAACAAATCAATTAATTAAAATTAATTAAATTATTTAACTTATTGCAAACCTAATAATCAAATATTGTATTGTCATCAAGCATGAGTATGTATGCAAAATTTGAAGAAAATCTATCATCAAGAAGTGACTCAAAAATTGATTACGAGATTTGATGTTAACAGACAGACATTGACGAGGAAAAAAATTGGGAAGAATAAGAAGAAAAAGTAAAATAAGAAAACTAAAAGTAGTTAATAATAATAAAAATATTTAAAAAAAAAAATTTTTTAATTTATTTAAGTTTATTTTGTTTTAAATAAGGAAATGAAGATCAATTATTTTAAAGTTTTAATTTTTCAAACTCATTTACAACACACACAAGACTTCAATTCCATTCACTGACTGAATCAAAATAGTACATGTAGCAGTAAAACAATCATAACAAAGTTGTATAAATTACATAATAAATCACCTATGTAACATTTGTTTTAAAAATTGTGATCGAATATTACAGTAATAGGTATTGTTTTGAGGTCTAGCGAAAATCAAACAAAATATAAACTCAAACTGACATAGTTTCTTCAGAGCCGTTAAGAAGGAGGGGGGCGTAGGGGGAGGTGTCTAGCCCTCTAAGAATTTTATTATTTGGCAAATTAGACACTAGAGTCGGCAAAATTGGATTAATAGCTCGAAGTCGGCAAATGTTGGAAAACGAGGAACTTTTTTTTTTTTATGTAAGTTAGTGGGCAAAAAATTTTTTTGGCTATTGTCGGCAAAAAACAGACACGGTACCCCTCCTTTAAAATCTATTCAAGAAGGCCCTGAATTTCTTAACCAGTAAAAATTTCAAATAAAATTTTATTTAGAATTTTGTACGGCTATAAGCTACATATGAACCAATTTTTATTAATTTATATGTAATGACTCTCATTTTACAGGTAATTTTCTTGTCATAATTTAAAGCCAAAATTTCACTTAACTTAAACAAAAAATTAAAAGACTTCAAAATTTGTATTATAGGATACCTTAATGTAAACGCCATTATCCCATATAATGGCGTTCTTAGGTCAGCTAGGTTGGCATTATCATGATGCGTGCAGTGCCGGATCATTTTCAAGTTCTGGCTCATAAAACGGCCTGCATAAACAAAAATAGCCCCGTGCCCAAAGAAATCTAGGATCCGTGTCAACCACGTACGATATTATTTAAACATTTGCGTTTCTTTAAAAAGTTAACGAAATTCTCGTTTATACATAATTTCTTTATTGCAAAACTTTCTAGAACTAATAAAATATTAAAAAAACTGTCATAAAATACTATTATTATTAAAACAAAAACCGCCGTTAAAAAACACTCTTTAAGCTTTGTCGCGACTTTTTTTATGTGCATAATCCATCAATTTGAATCACTAAATAATAATTTTTTGATCTAAATTAAGATATTATATTTTGATTTTTTTTTTTTTTGAAATTTAAATTAATTAGAACAAAAAAATAAATTCATCTTCTCTAGCTTATGGTAAATTATTATCGTGAGAGTTAAAAAATGCATCGGAGAACGTTTTTTAATATTCCATATCAAAATTCCTGAGGGAATCGCAATTGGTTCGTCTTTCAAATATAATTAAACAAATAAGTATATATCAGTATTATATATATATATATATATATATATATATATATATATATATATATATATATATATATATATATATATATATATATATATATATATATATATATATATATATATATATATATATCGCAATAACAAAATCTTTGCATTTAAATAACTTTAGACTTAATAAAATAAGTTTAAACCAAAATTAAGTTTCATCTTTTTCAATTTTTATATTTAATAATACATGAAAATTTTAAAATATAAAATTTTATAGCTATAAACAATAAAGTAAACAAAATTTTTTTTATATGAAAATTTATAAAAAAATAGAATTTTATTTATAAGAAGTAAATACGGATTTCTCTAACTTTTACAGAAAAAAATTCGTCATTTATATTTTATCAACAGGTAAACTTTATATACATTAAAACTAATATAATAATCAAATAATTATACAACTCGTTTGCTGCTTTTCTAAATTATTCAAACAACTTGCAATATTACGTTTTGTTTTCACTGTATTCGGATGGTTAATACCTAAAATTTTAGTTTGTATTTTATCAACAGAATAATAAATTTCTAAAGCTTCGTTATATTTTCCCATTTTGTTCAAACAGAGTGCGATATTATGTTTTGTTATCATTGTAGACGGATGGTTGATACCTAAAATTTCATTTTCAATTTTATCAACAGAATAATAAATTTCTAGAGCTTCGTTATATTTTCCCATTTTGTTCAAACAGCTTGCAATATTATGTTTTGTTGTCATTGTAGACGGATGGTTGATACCTAAAATTTCAGTTCGTATTTTATTAACAGAATAATAAATTTCTAAAGCTTCGTTATATTTTCCCATATTGGTCAAACAGACTGCGATATTATGTTTTGTTGTCATTGTAGACGGATGGTTGATACCTAAAATTTCAGTTCGTATTTTATTAACAGAATAATAAATTTCTAAAGCTTCGTTATATTTTCCCATATTGGTCAAACAGACTGCGATATTATGTTTTGTTGTCATTGTAGACGGATGGTTGATACCTAAAATTTCAGTTTGTATTTTATTAACAGAATAATAAATTTCTAAAGCTTCGTTATATTTTCCCATATTTTTCAAACAGACTGCGATATTATGTTTTGTTGTCATTGTATCCGGATGGTTGATACCTAAAATTTCAGTTTGTATTTTATTAACAGAATAATAAATTTCTAAAGCTTCGTTATATTTTCCCATATTGTCCAAACAGAGTGCGATATTATGTTTTGTTGTCATTGTATCCGGATGGTTGATACCTAAAATTTCAGTTTGTATTTTATCAACAGAATATAAAATTTCTAAAGCTTCGTTATATTTTCCCATTTTGTTCAAACAGCTTGCGATATTATCTTTTGTATCAAGCGTGATTATGTTATTTTCACCATAAGTTTCTGTATTAAATTTTTGAACAGCTTTTAATATTTCGATTGCTTCTTCAAATAAACCTTTACATACTAATAACCTTTGAATAGAAGTCGTCATATGATGGAAGGTTTCCGAAAGTTTTTTTCCGTTAGTGTGAAACATATAGATAAATTGAAAAACAAAATGATTTCCGTAATCTATGTGATCTTTTACTTCATTTAATTCAACTTTAAAACAATTTTCAATTAAATCAAGATATGCATTTGTACTTGAATTTCTTTTTTGAAAACATTGACATGTTAACTGTGTCAGTTCGTGTATTGTATATTTTTTATCGTCAAAACAGTTTAGTAAAGAATAACTCATTAGTAATCCAATAGCTTCATCTATTAAAGATTCATCGTTTGTTTCCATTTGATTTGAGATTTTTGTTATAAACTGTTTACTGATGTTTTGACCGTCGCAATGAGATAAACAGTTTAATATTTTAAATGGAAAAGGTTTAGTTTTTTCTAATTTTATTAAAACTAAGTTGATTGCTTTTATTGCAGACTTTGATTCTTCTTCGGTTGGAAAGTTATTATTGTCTAATATTTCTGATGGTTTCGATCTATATCGATCAATGTATTTTTCTATCGAAATTTTATGTATATTTATATATTTTATTGCTTGAGTAATTGCAAACGGATGATAACCAAGTTCTTTAATTAAGTTTTTTATGTTTTCGTCGCTGTTTTCTTTAATATTTTTTTTTACATAAGTAAATGCTTCTTTTAAAGAAAAAATATCAACTAACATTTTATTTACATTATTCGACCAAGTTCTCCATTGGGAGGTAATCAACGTGAATGATTTCGGTTTTTTTGAAATGTACATTGATAAATTTTTAACACTTTCATCGTCGACATTGTCAAAAATATACAAAGTCTTTTCATTTTTATAATAGTTGTGAATTTTTTCAACAATCACTTTTATATTAAAGTATTCTCCTTTTGAATCATGAACCTCATATCCTAATATTTGACATTGGTTTCTTATTGAAGTTTGTAACATTCCAAATGCTGCGTCAATCCAAACAAAGTTTTTATATAAGTTATAAGATATTTCACAATATTTTCTTGCAAGATGTGTTTTTCCGACACCCGACATTCCATATAATACTAAAGTTGAGTTGTTTGCATCTTGTAAAAAAAAATGTTGAATTTCGCAAAGTAGTTTCTTGCGTGAAAATAAATTTTCTGATAAAGATTGAATTCCTAAAAATAGACGTACAGTTAGATGTATTATAAAAAATAATTATTTTAACTAAAACAAATTTAATATCATTTATTAAGTAAAAAGTTTCTACTTCTAACTAAACTTTTTTCTTTTTTTAAATGCAGCGCGTTATTATTAAATTTAAAAAAAGTTTTTATATATAAAATTAAACTAGTTTTGAAAATATTTTTGAATAAAGTTTTATGTTACACTATAATATTTTAGTATTTAATCTTTCGTAAACAAAACTTAATGAAATGTACATTGTGAACTTAACAACTTAAAAAACTCCAAGTAATTATTGTTACTCAAGAGAATACAAGGGAAAATAAAGTAAAAATTTGAACTTTGTAAAATAAAACATTTAAAAAAACTTTTTGTAAAATAAACATTTTTATATAGCGTGTGTTCTATCAACCTAAAATGCAAATGTTTGCATTTCATGAAAGTTTTTTTTTCTGTTTTTTTTTCTTTCATTACGAATTCTAAAAACTTTATATACTTTATTTTTAAAACGTATATCATGCTAAACAATTCTTGTTATTATAATACGATTATTTATAATCAAGTTGTAAATAAAAATTAATTAAAGAAAGAAAAAATAATAATATAATTAATAATTCAAAAAATATATAAAAAAAAAAATATATATATATATATATATATATAAATATATATATATATGTAAATAAAATTAAATAAAAAAAATAAATTACGTGAGTGGGTATATGTATATATTTTTGTACATGTGTTTATGTATGCAATTATTCATTTATATACGTATATGTGTACGTGTATATGTATGAATATGTGTTTTGGTTTACGTGTATATAAAAGTTTGCATCTTTGAATTTATGTATATATAGATATGTATATGTGTGTATGTATGTAAACTTTTAACTAACCTGTTTTGTTGTCTTTATAACCAACCTGTTTGAACATTTTACGATGATGAAAAACGTAGAATTGAGAAAAAGAACTTTTACGACACACGAACAAATAAATGAAAGAAATACCGCGTCTTCTTTAAACTGACCGTTAAGTTCAATTCTAACAGACACTTTTAAAGATCTGGAAAAAAAAAACAATTAAAAGTAAAGTTTTTTTTCCTTTTTTTTTTTTTTTTTATATCTAAAATATGTTAAGATGTAAACCTATTTATATAAACACTAATACTAATTTTTTATTTTGTGATATCATACATTCACAATTTTTATGTTTATCATTTATATTCTGCTACTACTACTACTCACTACTACTACTACTACTACTACTACTACTACTACTACTACTACTACTACTACTACTACTACTACTACTACTACTACTACTACTACTACTACTACTACTACTACTACTACTACTACTACTACTACTACTATTACTACTATTACTACTACTACTACTACTACTACTACTACTACTACTACTACTACTACTACTACTACTACTACTACTACAACTACTACTACTACTACTACTACAACTACTACTACTACTACTACTACTACTACTACTACTACTACAACTACTACTACTACTACTACAACTACTACTACTACTACTACTACTACTACTACTACTACTACTACTACTACTACTACTACTACTACTACTACTACTATACTACTATTACTACTACTACTACTACTACTACTACTACTACTACTACAACTACTACTACTACTACTACTACTACTACAACTACTACTACTACTACTACTACTACTACTACTACTACTACTACTACTACTACTACTACTACTACAACTACTACTACTACTACTACTACTACAACTACTACTACTACTACTACTACTACTACTACTACTACTTCTACTACTACTACTACTACTATTACTACGACCAACACTACTACTACTACTACTACTACTACTACTACTACTACTACTACTACTACTACTACTACTACTACTCTACTACTACTACTACTACTATTACTACGACCAACACTACTACTACTACTACTACTACTACTACTATTACTACTGATAAATGAAAGCATCATTGAAACATAGAAATAAAAAAAAAGGGTGTTAATATAAAAAAATTACCCATAAAACAACTAAATTTATGACAATCTTTTTGATTTAATTCTATTTAGTTTTGAAAAGCAGTTGTGTTAAAAAATAATATAAAGTATAAATCAATGTTATAAAAGTAGTTTAAAAAAACTAACAACAATAAAAACTGTAATATTACATAATTTTACCTCATATATTATACAAATACCTTCACATGCAATTAGATATAATTATACATAAAAATTATAGCTGTGTTTATAAGCACACACTTTTTAACATACTAGTTTACTTGAAATATACGTTTTGAATTTTAAATAATAAAATTAATTGAAGTATTTAATCGTTGAGAAAAAAACCTTGTTTATTTAGATGTTTTTATTTGTCGATAATACAATGTATTTTTGATTTTTAATTAAACTATGATGACTATTTTAACCATTAAAGGAAAAAAATTTATGATACGAAATATGACACTTCAGTTAAAAATTAGGTGAATCATATTTTTAATAATCATGTGTAAATGATTTACTATATTAAGGTAAAAAGTTTGTTATTGACTTTGTGTAAAAGAATGTGGTAAAAATCTTCTATAGGGTAGGTTCGGGTAATTTGAGCACCGAGGTAATATGAGCATACCAAAAGATAAGTTGCGAGCAATGAAGTTCAAGTTGCATAGTTTTTTTTGAACTGACTTTATAAGGTTATAAAAGAAAGCAGTATAAACAGCGTAAATTTACACGCAATAATTTACGGTTTTCAGCTAATTAAAACTCAACTTAAGTTTTTGTGATTTTAAATGATTTTAATTACACATAAAAAAATCTGTGGTTCAAAACTTTGATGCAGAAATGTAGATATTAAATTTTTTATCAAGAAAATTATGTTAGGTATAAATCCGCTCCTTTCATTTAAAAACACCTTTTTTGTGTAATATGAGGTTGCTTAAACACGGCGTTATTTTTTGTTCAAAAGTCTCCTAATTGCCAGTTTGCGCGTGTTTTTACACTTAAAACTATAGTTAATGGAAACCATGTAAAATGACAATAAAATTTCAATAGACCAATCAATATCTCAAGTTTTTGCAAGTGGTTTCTATCGATGCAGACATTTTGCGATAAATTTTACTTGTAAGTAAACAATATGGATATGATCTATGTACTTCATCCTACAATTTATAATTATATCTTGAGATTATGCTCTCATATTAATAACCTAATACTGAGTTTATATTTGCATAAAACATTACAAAATTGTTTAAAAAATTCGGCACTCCAATTATAATTATACTTTAGAATAAAAATTAAAACTAAAAATCTAAATGGAAAATAATTATTTAAACGTAAATTTTTGTAAATTACTTTATAGAAATTATAAAATACAAATTGAATAAGTAAATAAAATAAAAAGAAAATTTTTCTTAGAAAATACTGCTTTGAAAATTATTGTAAATTGGGTTGTAGTTTAAGATTCTTTTAATTTCAATGCAGGAAGGTAAGTTGTCAAGTACAGACTGTCAATACCTAAAAAAAAAAGGTAAAAAATTGATACTGCCCTATCAATTTATCATATTGCCCTATCAATTTATCATGTTCTGTTTTCATCTAATTTGTAAATTCTATTTCATAAATCTACACACATTGTAATTTGCACAGCTTAAGCAGCCTAGCTTTATATATGTTTAGGATTAAATAGCTAATCTTAACTCAATCTTTAGCATATATAATAATTTAATTTTAAACCAATATTATAACTTAACCTTAAACCAATAGAACTTTTATATACATCTACACCTTATTTTTACTTTGATGTTTTTAAAATCAAGCTAAGATATCCTTGAACTAAACATCAAGGTTTAAAATAATCTGATACCTCGTATCAGAATAATATAACTTGATACAAGGTATATCTAGTTATGTTGAAATCTGGAAGGCAAATATTCACATACTTTTTAGATTTCAACAAAGCTTTTGATAGCGTTAATTATTGGAAGTTGTTTTCTAAATTAATTGATCAGGGTGTTGTCAAGAATATTGTCTTAATACTTGCATCTTGGTACAAAAATCAAACTATGTTTGTCAAATGGCAGAAAGGAAACTCTGAATGCTTTAACATAAAAAACGGTGTAGAGCAAGCTGGAATTCTTTTACCGCATTTGTTTATATTTTATATAAAAACACTAATTTTAAACATTATGAATATGCATATTGGATGTAATATAGGTGAAATTTTTTGAATCTTTTGGCATATGCCGACGATCTCTTCCACCCTTTACCTTGGATATGAATTAGTTTTCACTGGATATGAATTAGTTTTCATTAACAAATTCATTTGGATCACATATGAGATAATGGTTTGTTTGACAATGCTGATATAAATCGAGAGATTAAATGTCTTTAAAATAAGAGAAACACATTTTTTTAAGATTGACACCAACATATGTATGAAAAATTCAAAAACTTATAAATCTGTATTTGAAAATTCTGTTAACTTTTTTATAAGTGCGCGAATTTCATAAGAACTGGCATAAGTGCGAATGGCGTTAGCGCAAATTGGCATATGTGCGAACTTGCATAAGTGCGAATCGTTGAAAAAAATTGGCATAAGTACGATCTGGCATATGTGCGAATTGGCATAAGTGCGCCAAAACATTTTGCAAACATTGGCATAAGTGCAATTTTGCATATATGCGAACTGGCATAAGTGCGATATAGTTATAAAAAATGGCACAAATGCAAACAGGCATAAGTGCGAGTTCGAATAAGTGCGCCAAACAAGTTTGCAAACATTGGCATATATGTGAATTGGCATAAGTGCGAACTGACATAAGTGCAAAGCAGTTACAAAAACTGGTATAAGTGCGAGCTGACATAACTGCAAATTGCAAAACTGAAAAAACTGCAAAAAAATTGGCGTGCGCCAAATAAATTCGCAATAATTGGCATAAGTGCGAACTGGCATAAGTGTGAATTGGCATAAGTGCAAAATACTAATTTGCAATTATGCCAATATTTGAAACTTTATTCGGGGCATTTAAGCCGATTCGTACTTATGCCAGTTTTTGTAACTGTTTCGCACTTATGCCAGTTCGCACTTATGCCAATTCGCACGTATGCCAACATTTGCAAATTTATTCGTCGCACATGCTAATTTGCCGTTATGCCTGTTATTATCGTTTTCCATCAGGAAACCCAGATGTTTAACATTTCCACAAAATAAAGTCTTTATTAAAAGTTAGTTTTTTTAATTAAATTAAAAAAAAAAATTTAAATTTAAATGGCAGCCAATTTTTTCTGAAAATTAGTCAAAAAGTTGCATGAAAACATCAGAGATAACCTCAAACTTATTTTTTACTGCATTTGTAAAAAAATTCCAAAAATGGTCTATATAAAGACTATAACACTGTTAGGTTCATAATTAGTTAGAGAATTTAAAGGTAATTCAATATTTTAGGTTTAAGGGTCATCCATAAATAACGCAACGTAAAGTATATTTTAAAAACAGAAGTTAAAGATATTTAGCTCTTTTGAGCGGCGAAATTTATTAAATTTAATGGGTTATTCTGACTTTTTATTTAAATTAAGACTCTGCGAGGGAGCACTTTTGTTCTTTTTTGTGTTGTTTATTGTGAAAGTTTGCTTTACGCAATTTATAGACGATCCCTTGGAGACTTTTTTAAAATCTAAAATGTCAATTTATATATATATATATATATATATATATATATATATATATATATATATATATATATATATATATATATATATATATATATATATATATATATATATAAATATTCAAATATATATATATATATATATATATATATATATATATATATATATATATATATATATATATATATATATATATATATATATATATATATATATATATATATATATATATATATATATATATATATATATAGTATTAGACAAAAGAAGTGCAACCAAATAATGCTAATTTAGTTTCTTTATATAAAAGTGCTGCATTTTTTCAATATAGACAATTATGTAGCTGCTTAAA